ACGCGCGCGCAATGCTTGCAGGCGTGGGCATCACATTGAATGCAAGCATGCTTTTGTGCTCGTTCGCGTGCGTGGGTGTGGGTGTTGCTGTGGGTGTGGATGGCTTTGGGTGGGTGTTTAGGAGTGTCAATGGCCATCCCGTGGGTCTTTCAAGCAGGACAAAAGTAAACTCAGGCAATTTAGACCCAAAAGCTTGTGAGAACCTTTCCCTTCGATTTCGGAACTTCTTGGTACATATGTATTCCTTGAGTTGGCCTATCAGGACAAGTTGGTGTCGTTCCGAGGTCACAAACTCTGAAATTCCATTCAGAGCAGGTACAGAAAACCCACCATAGCTGAACTGCTCTCTGGAGGAGAAGAGATTGGCACACGCTTGCCTCCAAAACCTTTGTTTCCAGGAGGTCAAGTATTAAAATGGTACTAGCCCCGCCCCCAGGAGGAAAGGAAACACTTACCCAGGGGCGAAGGACAAGTTTTCCTGAACAGTATTTTGGGGGGGTGGGTCCATGAGCGGCCCCCAGCAGGAACCTGTTAGCAAGAGAAGAGCCGCAAGAAAGAGCAAGAACAAGAGCTACTGAAACACTACTCAAGAAAAGGGCCAATCATTCTGAGAAACTGCGAATGAAAAAGCTAAGGCCAAGCCAGAGGTGGGAAAAGAGGAGACTCACACAAAGTTAACGGAAAGCTAGAGTCAGCGCGCAGAGAGGCAGTCTCGGAGGCAAACATCAGCCTGAATAGGAAGGGAACGAGAACACAGCAGCTGCAGAACTCAAAAACAGCATGCGCAAAAGGACAGCAAAAGGAGAAACATGGGCCAAACGTCCCTACTTAGAGGCCTTTTTACAAGCCGCTGCCAGTAGGCAAAGCAGCCAAGAAACAAGGCACCGCACAGCGGCGGGCTTGGCTCTAAAGAGAGTTCCCAGGGGTTCGCGAAACGGGAGTTTCTCAGCATCTACGGACCTTGTAACTGTTACAAAAGCCCTCTGCAACCTCACAAGCGCCACATCAAATGTTACACTTGACCCAGGTTGAACATCATGCAATTATCATTCTTTAGAAATGCTTTCGAATACCTCAATAAAGCATTAGAAACAGTTCAAGAGCACCTTCAGCGTAAACTTGGATGCAGCGAGAGCTGTTATGAATCGGCAAGACCGAAAGAACAGTGTTCCCAGAATCAGGACACAGAGTCATATGGCCAAGGGGCTTGTGTCCTTGAGGCACTTGCACACTTGGTAAAACATGTACACTTACTAAGGCACTTGGGGACTCAGAATGCGCTGCAATTTCTTTCTTGGGTTACAAAGAATCATCAGCGGCTAGCCACCCTCTGGTTCTCGTTTTTTTGTTGTTACATGAGCGGCCCCCAGCTGACAGCAAGAGAACATCCACAAGAAAGAGCAAGAACAAGACCCGGGGACACACTCCTCAAAAAAGGTCCAGCCCTACTGAGAACCCATGGAAAAAGGATAAAGCAAGGCCAAGCTGCCAAACGCACGCAGGAGAGCAGTTGCATTCCTGGAAACAAGGAGTTCAGGAACTCAAGCAGGCAACAACAACCCAGGCCTACTTGTAGTTGGTTGCATACAAGAATACTTCCCACTGCCAGGTTCTAGAGCCAGGTGCTTCTAGTAACCCTCCAGATCCACATTAGAATTCTCTTTTTCTTACCTTGCGGTGGAGGCGGCACACAGCTTTTTTTGAGCCAATGTGTCTCCTCTTCCTTAATTGACGTAGGGAGAGTTTCGCTGCCTACATAGTTTTTTCTTTTCTTTTCTTTTCTTTGCATTGCATTGCAAGTTTAATGCTAATGCTCATCATTGCATTGCTCAACCAAGGGACAGAGGGAAACTGTGAGACTCAAGCCCAGGATAAAGTCGAGTCCTGTGGGAGCAAGAGAAGACCTCGTAGTAAAACATGATTAATCATAATATTTTTTATTTTTGCTTTTACACGCAATAATAACACGCAAAACATGAACAATCATGATTTATCAGGAGGGTTAAAAAAGTAGTGTACACGATCCCCAGAAACTGGGTGGGACCCCCCTGACACCCCCCTCCCCCCCCAAAACCCCCCATGCAGTTACCCAACCCGGACAAAAAGGGTGTCAATCTGTTCCTTTTTGAAATAGCTATCAATCTGCATACTTGCCATGCTGGAAAAGTGAGTTGCAGCAGAGTTATGGGACAAAAATTGAGCAGCGGACGCCCATGCATACCTGCCCTTCCAGCCACCCATGATCACATCATACATTGTCACCATCCTGGAAGTTTGAACTGGTTTGCCGCATATTCGCCTCTAAACCCCCTGCCGCCCACACCCTTGAGTGCATGGCACTGACTCCCGGCCATGCACACAGACCCCCCCTTTTACTCAATTTATCCAAAGAGGGTGCCAGCTCTTAAGCTCAGGAATTCAATGGTATACTTAGAATTCTGTAGTAGTGGCCCAGAAAAATTCTGGAGGGGGGGTCCCAAAAACCTGTACCGCCCTTGACCCCCCCCCTCCTGATCAGATCAGATCCATACATATACCAATGGATAGCCCTTGATCCCAGGATTCCGAATATATAACTCTTGAGTGGATTGACGTCCAAAAATTCTGCTTTTTGGAGATTCTTGTATTTACTTATAAGAACGGCAAGAAAATGTAGTCGAGCATGTCCCCAAATGTCAAGGATGTATACCTCCGCTATCGTATAGGTGGTCAGTATACGCGGCTCTCAAGCCGGATCGTGTGGTGCCCGCGGGACCAGGGTTCGAGTCCCTGTGGCGGAATTTTTATTGCCCATTCCGCCTGTATGTCAGGATTTTTAATGTATGAAACAAGTGGCATACCGCATGGATTTGCACTTTGGGCCCCCAGGTCTTTACAATGTACCCGCATCACTAGGCTACCAGCATAAGCGCATTATGTTTCCACTCAGCTGCCCTTGTATGCAGTAACAGCATTGGTACCTTACCTTGCCCCTTTGGATGAGTACCCTGTTGTAATCTCTTGCGACAATTATACATGAATCGGTACAAGTTCTCCCCTGGATGGTCTGCAAGTGGTTTGGTGCAGAAATGTTGTGAGCGTGTGAAAAAACTTGGGCGATTCCTTCATGTGTATTTGCAAGCACGTTTCCTCACATTGCCCCGTTGCAACACATGACAATCTGACAAAAGGATGTGGTGCGAGTACTCAAGGCCATTGCAAATGATTTGGTGCAGTCCAGACATGCGCAAAGGTTTTCATCAACGCATGTGCTTGAGACGACATACTAGAGCATAACGCATTCAATTACACGCTAAGTTCTGTACAGCACCTTGACCACTACTTAAGATTAGATTTTTTGAGCCGTGCGGAATGCTTTAGAATGATTTTGAAGGGGTGCGTAGTCGGCAAATAATTTGCCGAGATGAGGTGCTTAATGGGTGCGCAATGGTGAAAATGATTTGAAATTCTTACAGATAGGTTCGTGAAAAAGAAAGATGCGGGGAAGAGGGAAAAGGACAAGGGTGAGGAGGAGAAACGGGAGAAGGAAAGCGTTGCAAAGCAATCAAAGGATGCACAAGAGGAGAGAACGAAGAGCGTTGCACAGCAACCGAAGGATGCAAAAGAGGAGGAAGCGTGAAGAGCAGCATGAGGCAGCAAAGAAGCAGCACAAGAGCAGAGCATACGCAAACTTGCAAGAAGACGCATGCAAGACACAGCCCTCAAAGCCCAGAACTTGAGAGATGGGTGCGCAATCAGGGTGCACAGTCTACAACTAATATTTGCTTGGATGTGAATGAAGGGGCGCAATGGCTGCGCGATGGAGATGTTCAATCCAAAAATTATAGGGGTGCGCAGTGGTCAGGGTGCTGGACGGTACTTTTTTCTAACTGCCAGCGTTCACGCTTCCTTTTTCCCTCTTCAAGATGAGGTGTGGCCCAAATCTGTCCATATGTATGCCTGCCAGGACAACAGTTTCCCGCCAGGGTTCGTATTGTGTTTGCATGTATTGTGACGCTCATGTGATTGCCATAATCCATAACCTTGTTTGACGCATGCCCACGCTGGTTGGTGGCTTTGTGTATGTGTGTGTGTGTGTGTGTGTGTGTGTGTGTGTGTGTGTGTG